TGATGCAATGGGAAGGACATGGCCTCATGCATGTAATATTCCTTCCAAACTTGTTTAATCTGAATCTAATCATTAAATAAAACCAGATTGCTGAACTTTTGTAAGACACCTGGTCTGAATTCTTTCAAAAGTTAGCTTCATAAAAAACAAAAAATAGGCTGGGAGCCTATTCTAAATTAAAATAGACTAAAAAAGCATGTCATTTCAATGTGTTATCTTTGATTTGAGTTTAGATAGAAATTAACAACAGTAGATAAAAAGACATTACTGGGACCATTGGTGAAATTTCAGCATGTATGCACGCAAGACAATATTGCACCCATGTTAAATTTCTTGGATGTAGTAATGATATTATTAAATAATTAGGAGTTCTTAGCAGATGCAAGCCGAGATGCACATTGGTATTCTGTATCAACTTACAAATGGTTTAATTGGAACAGCAAATGGAATTTATGTATGCAGAGAGGCAGTGTGGTGAAATGTTGGCCATTAGTGAATCTGGATAAAGAATGTGTGAATGGAGTTCCTTTTACTACTTGTACAACTTTTCTGTGAGTTAAAATTTTTCAAAATGTTTGGATATAAAGGAGGAAAAAGATAAATAGAAATGAATGCTCTTCCATAACTCGTCACTGGTAGTCATTCTTTGCCACCTGTAGTTAGTGGCTTAGTGATAATTGAGCTAAAATATTATCCATGTGAAGTCAGACTCTTAACAGTGGCCTGACTTTATTTCACTCACATGCTGTGCATTTTAGTTCAGGGCTCTTGTTCCATGAACTTACAGTGAGGTAGTCATCGGCCTGTAATCCTGCTAGTGGCATTGAGAATTATGATTGTCCAACTCATAATAAGCCCAAACTGTGGTTTGGTGAGCTTTTATCACATACATATTTGTAGAATAAATAGAAATACATATATCATTGTGTGACTGATTTTATTCATGGAGATGTGGTGGTTGTTAGTAAAAGGATGCAGTCATGGGACACTTTTTATGTTCTACCTCCCACCTTCTTATCTCACCTTCATGTACCAGCCCTTGCTACAGTGACCAGCTGTGCACAGGCATGACCTGCTAGCACCTGGCCTCAGCTGCAGTACCTTTCACTCATCTTCTTTCCTGGGCATCCTCTGCCACCATCCTACTTCTTGGCACAGATATGAGAGAGTATAAAACCCCATCGGCAACCCAAAAACTTCCGGAAAGCTGGAGGCTGAGTATAAATATCTACTCTCCCATCCCTCAGGTGGACAATCTGAGACGAGTTTTACAGGACTCCTCAGAGGACTCCCAGGAGGATGGAGTCCTAGTTGCCCACATTGTTGAACAGCTCAATATAACACCTTTGAGCTGGCTTTCTTTTCTTCTCTTCGTAACTCTTCGTAGTCCCTCAGTACTGTTTCTTGGGATCAGTTCCCAAAATAAATGACCTATATACAAACCTTTGTCATGGGCATTGCTGTTTTTGGCAGGACCTAGGCTAAGGCAATGAAATCTTTGGAATCTTTCTAGTTATGGTTGAAGAGTGTAGGAGTTGTTATTATTACAATGACCACTTTATAAAAGTTCGGGCAGGATCTGGAAAAGGCTTTAGGCAAAGAGTCAGGAGAACCTTCCTTGTTGTTTGGCCTTGGGCAGGTCATTTAACCATCTGGTAACTGGCAAAGCTACAGTGATAGTTAAAAAGAAAACATGTTGGTAAGTCTGTAGCATTCTGCTAGCTGGTTATGGGACTGTTGTTCCTGGTATCTAGTAGAAGGTGCCAGGAATAGCAAGATAGCCCTTAAATCTAAAGGTACAAAGAGAGAAAATGAGAATACCAAGAGGAGGACTGGTGGTAGGACTTGGGGTGGGGCATTCAATATTTGAACTGAGACATAAAAGGGAGACATGAGAGTGACACAGAGGCCCATTCTAATTCCTAATGGGGATTGAAATGTAGGAGCAAAGCTATTATCATATTTACATGCCCCGCCACCTAATGTTGCCCTGTTGTCTGTTTTTGTGCACAATTCCACAGCCTTAGGATGGAACTTGTTAATAAATTGCATCAACCTAATAGGAGAAACTGAAAATGGGGAGCAGTCCCAACTTAGAGGGAAAGGAGAGTAGGGAGGCTGGAAACCAACTGAAGTTTTACAAGTACGGGCTGGTTGTTCACCATAATTACTTGTTTCATTGCACAGCTTGAGGTAATTCTGTGACTTTTGAGTCTTAGTGGTTAGATACTACAGTGACTTAGGGCATAGGCAGTTGATACACTTTCTGCTACAGTAAAGTACAGATGTTGAAGAGCCTATTAAATCCTGTCTCTTTACTGATACCCCAAGGGAACACTTAATGAATGATGCTTCCCTTAAGAAGAAGAATAATTAACAATAGCTGTATTATTCATATTAATTTATAGTTACTGGTTGCTATAATTAATGCTATTTATGAAAATCATCATAATTATAGCATTTTACAATTTACAAAGTATTTTCCCATCCATTTTCTTATCTGAATCTTGTAATATCCCTCTGGCTTAGGTGGGGCAGGTGGTATTTTATAGATGAAGAAACTATGGCCCAGGGAAAAATTTAATCAGACTCCAATCCACCACACTTGGCAATATATTATGCTGTCTATGAGTATGTGGAAATATACTTATGAAATTCACATTTATTATAATATTTTATGTCCACACACAAAAGAATCAAGTCCACTTGGCTCTTAGTTGCCTTCCATAACAATTGAGTTCTACCTTTCCTTGTTATGACCCATTACCCAGAATGTTCACATGAATTTTAAATGTTAGATCTTTTTCTTAATAGTACCAAAATATTTCATAGTTATTAATGCCTTTTGAGATCAAGATGAGATCACCTCTGATAAAGGGATTAGACCCACTGGCTTTAGATAATTTAATCAGACTGGAAATTCAGACTCTGAGAAAAGATAATCAGGCTGTCATATCACTGTTTTTCTATTTTTGGCTATGGCAAGGCAAATCTCTCAATTTCACAGGGCCATCCTTTAAATCTAGGCCATATAGCCTGATATACGCATAAACACACGTGTGCACACTGAGCCTGTGCACACTTGGCTCTTTTTAAATACTGTATCCTAGAGCATTCACTGCTTCCTGTTGTACATCTACTGCTTTTACCCAAAGACCTTGGTTTGAAAAAGATTATTGGCTCGACCTGTGCCAGAATCTGTCATTATTCATTCATTTATTCATTCAAAAAATATCCATTGAACACTTACATGGGTCAGGCTCTAAACAAGATTCTAGGAAAACAGGAACAAAACAAATAAAATTCTCACTCTCACGAAGCCTACATGTTCTAGGGGAGAGACTGACAATGAACAGACAAATACATATAGAAGGTATTGTTAGATGGTGGGAGATATTCTTAGAAAAATATGCAAAGCCGGGTGAGAGGACAGGGTAACAAAGAAGAGTCATAACAGTACGTCCAGAATGAGATTATCTTGAGGCTGCTCTAGATGATGTGAAATGTGAAATCCGTCTTTAAAGCGAGCTCTCCAACAAGGAAGCTGACTGTCTCATGAGGTAGGTGGCTATCTAGGTTTGGCTCCAAGGGCCTGGGCCACAGCTTCATAAGCAGTTATGTTAACAGTGTGCCTGGGATATATCAGGTCCAGGAGGAGTTAAGTCATGCTGGCTAAATTCAGAAGAGAGTGACCAACACAATCCACCGCATCCCATCAAGTTGCTTTTGTGCAGAGACATTTTAAATAAGTTCCAGGACTCAGGGAAGGTGGCTTGGTGAACAAGCTACTAGGGCAAAAGGAGCTAGTGATCTTAATAGGCAGTGCCATTACACATTATGCCTGACATGGCATCGTCACTAAAAAGATGGATTTACTTCAAGGGTTGTAAGATTTAATGCTAGCCTGTCAGGACACTCTAGTTGTTGTTGTTGTTTATTGTTGTTATTGCTGCAGATATTCTAGTTTCCTGGCTAATGCTTTATCTAAACTCAGGCAGACATGAGCTAGATACTATCTTGGCATTTAATCTTCTTAGACAAGTCCAATCAAGTTGATTAGTTTTTTGTAACTTTCTATTATTTCATTCCTATTGAGTCTTACTGAAGATAGTTAGAGCTCTTGATGGAGTCTTAAGAGACACTCACATCATACCTACAAGATCATTCTTATATTGTCACTTTAAAATCTTATTTTCACTTCACCCTGCCTCCAAGTCCTAGGGCAACCTCACTTTTTATTTCCTTGCTCCGAACTCTAGGCAGTTTGCTGTTTTTTTCCCAAACCTGCTCATAATTCCTGAAAAAGCCCTGTGGCAATGTTACTACCCTATACTCTCCTCTCATTGATTCTGTGTACAGGTAAACAGGCATTGATTTACGAAGTCCATAGGTCCTGACTTCATCATCAGTGCTCACTGCCACTTGCTTCCTCTGCAGCCCTTTGGCCAGAATCTTGAGAGGTCTCTTTCTAGTTCATGTTTTAGGAGCGAGCATTGCTTGGGTCCTGCCATCTCTCTCTCACATGCACACCTAATAATACCCACCCACCCCCAGACTCCCAGGCACTCTCGTGTTTTCAAGTGCTGACTCATTTTTCTGGACTGTCAGTCTCCTTTCCTTGCCCCTTGCTGCTCCAATAAAATGTCATCATTCTTGGCAGTGGTTTCTGAACACAAACAGCTTGTGAGATCTCTTCAAGGTTTTCGCCTCTTAAGTGCGGGGAGGGAGGCATTTATTTTCTTGCGTTCTCATTCCCCCCAAAAGAAAAATGCTTCTAAATAAATGTGTCTAAAGGAAAATCACCTTACATTTTTCAGTTCCCTTATCTGTCAAAAAGAGATAACTTTACCCCCAGTCTATCTCACTGAGATTTTGTAAAAGCTAAAAAATAAATGAGGTGCAGAAAAACTTAGACAAAGCCATAAGAAAACCTGAGAAATTTGAACTTATAACAGTATCAGTGGACATTTCCTTCCTTAACATGTGTGTGTTGCTCCAAGCAGGGAACTCCCGGAGGCAAGACCCTGGAGGAGAGACGCTCCAGCCTGGACGCTGAGATCGACTCCCTGACCAGCATTTTGGCTGACCTTGAGTGCAGCTCCCCCTACAAGCCTCGGCCTCCACAGGTGAGCATTGCCCATGAATGTCTCTCCACAGGGAACACCACAAATATTCCACTCCTATCTGAAAGAACAAGCTCCATCTTACTGCCTTTTCATTCTTTCTGATATTGTCAGAGCCAATGGTCTAAAATGTCTTTTTATTTAACGTCAACGTGTGTTAGTTCACTGGCAGAAATTTCTTAAATTGGCTTTATGAGTACTTCATTGAAAATCACACAGTGTTATATAAAATGTTATAAAAATGTAAATCTCTTCTTATTCCATTGCCCTTCTCTTTTTCTAGCTTTGCCTATATGGATATTTTATTACATTTTGTGGACAATCTTCACAAATATGATTTAGCTTGGCTATGGGAGGTTAAGCTGAGGCTATATCTTTTGTAATGAAATTCCCCATGTTGGATATTGGGGTAATTTTGGGTTTTTTTTTTTTTTTTTTGGTCATTGTTGTAAATAATGCTACAAGGGTCATATTGGTGTATATTTTCTTCAGAGCTGTTTCCCAGCCTCAGACTCCTAAGAGTAGGTTTCCTACAATAAGGAGTAAGTGCACTTTATTTACTTTTCTTTCCAAAGGTTATGGATAGCTTATACTGGCACCAGCAATTTGAATATATCAGTTTCTCTTCAAATTGACCAGAATTTTATGATAGCAATTAATCTGTGTTTTTTTAGGTGCAAATGGTGCATTGTTAGCAGTTATTCTTTGCATTTTTTATTCACTTTGGAGCTTGGCTAGTTTTCTCCATCTTTGTTTATTATCTGAGTTTCTGAAGCTGATCTTCCACTGCCAGTGATCATTCCCTGCCTCTCTGAAGTCTTGAGATGGTAAATTTGTTCAGAGCTTCCAAGTCCCCAAAAGACAGCCATCAGAACTCTAGATGCAAACATTGGACAAGCACTATTGTCATTGTGTTTGATTCTTGCATGACGTTTTCTTGACTAAATGACAGTGCGCACAACATTCTGAGTCCCTTTCCAATTCTTGAACAGCAGCTGCTATATTAACAATGGTTTTTCTTGCACAAACTAAAAACCAGTCCTGCTTCTCTGGTGTCAGTCATTTCAACAGTTAGCTGTACATAAGGTTGCAGTGCTTTTGTTTTTAGATACATCCCCATTACCTTTTCTAAACATATAATGGGATTGTTAGCTATGTGGGGGTACAAGGCAAAACATACTAGAGCTTAGCTGTTCCTTAGCTATCTATGCTCTTGGCTCCACCAGTCCTGTCAGCAGTAAAAATGTACTTCATTTCTATAAATATGTACTGAGCTGCTGATATATAGCAGGCTCTGTGGTCTTTTCAGGGAAAAGATAGGAGCAGGAAAGTGGATGGTTAAAAGGAAGAGGAATAGTACTCAGTTGTCATCTTCCAATAGTCCATAATATTATAGAAATTAAACTATGGCCTTGTATTGCAGAAATACAAGGAAGAGAGTGCCACATTCTTTGCAGGTCGCAAAATCTGAGAATTCTTCTCAGAAGACTTTTATGTTCAGCTGGAGGGATGGATAGGGTAATGTTGTTGGAGACAAGAGGTGAAAATAGCTTGAGCCACAGGGTATCAAGCTCCAGGCTGCATTTAGAGAACAGTAAGCAACTTGGTGGTGGCAGACAAAGTCACTGAATGCTTGAAGTGGACTATAGGTCTGGAAGGTTTTCTACTGACAGTGTGTGGGCAAGTTTGAATGTTAGATTAAGACTTTAGCCTGTTTTTTGTAGATTATAGGATTATTTCAAGGTTCTCAAGCAAGGGAAAGCTAAAATTCATTATGAAAACAGAACATAGGAAATGAGATCAACTCTAGAAACATGCAGGAGAATGGGCCCAGGTAAGAGAAATATTCCCCAGCAAGCCTTGCTTACTTCATAGTTTCTGACCATTGTTTGAGGTTCAGCAGTTTTCCAATTCCACTCAAATTCATCAAACATACTTCCTGAAGACAGCAAGGCACTGACTTTGCCACTGAACTTAGTGTATTATGCCCAAATACTTCCATGCATTCTTCCTCCTATGTATGTATGTATGTATATATGTATCTATCTATCCATCCATCTATTTAGCTTATTGTTTTCTCCCCTCAATTCTTATAACCTAATATATACTGGGGAGATCATGCTTTGAGGTTTTTGCTTAATGTAGTCTTCATTCTTTAAGGCTATGTGTCTACACATGCCTCCCATAAACCACTGCATTTTAATAGGTTTATACAGTAGCTACATTTTGTTTGAGCAATCATTCTGAGCACACAGATTCATAATCACCAGTGTTTGGACAGTACTGATTATGAAGCACTTTCACATCTATTCTTACTTGATTGAGATAAAGATATCTCAACTCTGAGATATACACATGGTGTGTTTATTTCATGGATGAGGAAGCTAAGACTCACCAAGAAGAGAAGTGATTTGTCTCTGGCCATGTGACTGCTGTGTGAGTACAAGTGGACTTTGGGTTTAGGCCTGGGCTTGATTTTAAGTTGACACTTGAGGTGTGTCAAGTTTTGTTTCGTTGATTTTACTATTGACAGAAACTATAAAATTAGTCACAGGAGTGACCATGTCCCTTGAGTATGGCTTTCCTGTAGAAAGAAAAACATTCACACATTTAAAAAAGAATTATGTTAGCCCTTAAGTAGAATAAGTTCATAATTAGGGTAAAATCTATTTTCGATGTGCCTGCTCCATTCAGAAATTAAAGGATGATCATTCTAATTCTTCTTCATTATTCTAATTTAGGAAAGCAAGAGGTAATTGGGAGATATAGCCCATCCTTCTGAATTTGGTGGAACTGAGTTGGATATGGTAGTATTTATTGGTTAACATAATTATATGCTGTGAGAACAATAATCACACACTTAAAATATCAAAAATACGTGCCAAGAGAAGATGTCTGCAGTAGACTGTGTTGTGTTGTAATTAAAAGGTACTTGAAAAGTCATGGAAATGTAGACTGTTAATGCCCAACTTTGATGTTTCCATTTTTTATCCAAAGCAAATTTCAAAACCTATTGAGTCACCTGAATACTTAAAGTAGGCTAGTAGGTCTGTTAATTGCCATTAGTCAAGCATGCATTGTGTGCTTTCCTGAATCTACCCCTTAATCACTTTTGTAAAGCTGCTTTGACTCATGGGTTTAGGGAAAAGGACATGTATGTGGAATGTTAGTACAGTAAGCGGTTCTGGGGAGCTCCATCTGCATACAATTGTGAAACATGTCTGAGCTCTTGAAAATGGGTTTTACTAAAGCATTTTCTACCTCATATTCAAAGGAGCATTTTTCACTCCCATATTTCCTGACTTTAGTTCTGTTCACTTATTTATCCGTATTATTGATTTGGGATTATGTGGCTTAATTCCACACATTCATCCATTCATTGACTTAACGTTTGTTGAAATCCTACTATGGATTTCAACAAACCCAACAAATTTTCAAACCCTTTGCACTCGAATGTAGAGTGTGACTCGACACGGCTAGCAAAAATTATAGAGATTAAAATTACTCTTTGAATGTATCAATAATTTGAAATATAAAAAAATCCAAATAAATAAGTTTGTATGAAAAGAAACTCCAGTTTTTTATTTTGCTGCCGCACTTTGTAGAATCTGGGGTATTTAAAAAATTAAATCCCGAGTAGAATAAAGGAATCGAGAAAAAAGCAAGCAAGTGCAAAGGGTTAATTATTGGAGGTATAGAGGTTAGTATCAACATGTCCTTGCTTTGGAGTAATTCTTAATCCTACAGAAGAGATAAGCATATATACAATCCTAAGGGAAACAAAGCAAGGGCTTCCATGTGCTAGTTATAAAGTGGCTCACCATGTGTTGACATTGCTGGAAGATAAAAAAGAATATCAACATTATATTTACACCTTTCAGTGCCAGGGAGGGCTGCATAGAACAGGTAGCATTCGAGGTCACTTGGCTTCATGTGTCATGGGAAGGGCATGGGATTTAAGGTGCAAGAATAACAGGAATGAGAAAGTCAAGGAATGTTGAAAGCAAATACTTTGTTTGAAGAAAAAGCTAGTTTAATAGAGTATGAGGAGTGTAAAGGGGAATGACAGATGAAAAAAATCAAATGTACTTAGTACCTAAGTAGCCCTCATTATGCCCAAGGGCTTTCAGAGTAAAAAGAAACTTAGGGGGATAGCCACAGAGTTTCTGGCTGCAGTGGATTTGGGGGTAACACCTTTAGCATATGAAAAGTATGTAAATATACATCCATGACACTGCATAGATTTATGCAATTAAACTACCTTAGTGTTTGAAACTAAAACATTTAAAAATGTATGTAGTAGGGAATAGTTTTAAAAGAACACATGTGAGAAGTTTGGAGCTGATCTTGGGGTGAATTGCAGATAATACCGTAATCACGGAGCATCAGAGCTTGAGTGAGCCTTCCAGTTCATGTAGCCAAAGTCTTACTTTACTGAAAAAACATATTTGACCAGAGAGAAAAGACCATTGCTCACTGAGGCTCAGGGGCAGTCTTAGTGATAGTTTTTCTTTTCCCTGAACCGTGACCTAATATTTCTCTGTGATGATAACAGCAACCAAGGGACAGTTTGGATCCTTTTAGTATCACAATTAGTTTATTCCAAAATGTCTCTCTTTTATGGAACTTTCTTTAAAATGTGCCTTGGACACATTAAAAAGGATTAAATATATCAAAAACATATCACTAAGGTGAACAGAAAATTTATGACAATATGGCATCCTTAAGTTAATGTATATATAAACCCCACCCATTGGGTGTCATTTGTTAATATTTGTTAATAAGTACAGTGTAGACTCTTTGGAGAAGCTACACAGGGGGTTGGACTGAAATTCTGTCTATTTCTATGAAGATAAGGGAACAACCATGGACTTGAGATTTTTTTTTTTTAATTTTATTTCAGGAAAATATGAGAGTACAAACATTGTGGTTACATTTTATATCTTTGCCTCTCCCTAGAAAGGGTTCGAGGTATGCCCTTCACCTCCACAATATTCACCACA